ATGCAAATGCAGAGATAAAAATAGACATTGAATAGCCCTAATGAAGCCTATTACCATGACTATTGAAATGCGTCCAAGTTTCGTAGTGCTCCTAAATATATTGAAATGTGAGGTTGTTGACACGCAGAGGCCTCGATTCGTCATTGGCTAGAACGTCCAAGTTTTCGAAAAGGGTAAACGGAAGAGTTTCTCGAACACTTTTAATAATAATAATAATAATAATAATCAGGCTTAGCGAACCCGAAGGTTCGATGCCGACACCACCAATCGCTTGTTACACACCTCCCTCCACCGTTCGCCGTCCAAACCCAGTCCCTTCAGATCGGCTTTAATGCAATCCTCCCACCTTCGCTTCGGTCTACCCCTCGGACGCTTACCATTCGGCACAGCAAATATTAACCTTTTAGGAATTCTCTCGTTACTAAGCCCAACAACTTTACAAGCCCATTTGATTCGCCGCGATGTAATCACCTCAATTATACTAACTGGATACAGTTCACGCGATTCGACGTAATGTAACCGTCTGAACTCTCCGGTTAACTCATCCTTCTTCGGTCCAAATATTCTACGCAATACTTTATTTTCAAACTCGAACACTTTTAGGAACACAAAATAGGAGAGTTTCATATACATGCGAACTCTTATCATAGCAACGCGGTGCAATATCATTAGCTCATGTACATATTAAAGTATAGTTCGATTTATCAGTAAAAAACAAAACGAAAAAAAAAAACTGTTTACTTTTTATGTTGCCAATGAGTTGGTTGCACGCGAAGCTAAATCTCTTTAGACCACTCTGCGATAATATTGGCTAATCGAAATATCGATTGATTTAAAGTAATGAAGTTTTTAAAGTTCGTTATAGTAACATTAAAAAGATAAAATTGTACGCCCTATAGTTCATTCATTTTAATTTTTAATAGCTTTGGTATGGATTTACGATATATGATGGTAGGATGAGACATTCGTTCGTGTTAAAAATTTAGGACACCACAGGCAAATCTTCCGAGGAGGAGGGCTTTCGGGCTGAAGATTCCTCCTCCCCAAAATGGTAACATATTTTATAGTAAAAAAGTTATTCCTTAAAGTATTATTGTTGGTGCAATAACTTTTAATAGGACTTCAAGAATCACTTAGACACCATTTCATATATGTCCTTGGTATCATTTTTTTTTTCCAAAATAAGTATCGTTATATACATATCGTTATATATATATATATATATATATATATATATATATGAAAAAAAAGCTTTCGGAGTGAAGCTCCCTCCCTCCCCTTCCCCCCTCCCAAAAAAATTAAATCCTGGATCCGCTAGTGTGGTACACACTTCCGATATATATATATTTATTATCCTTATTTATTTATTTTATTTCCATTTTTTTATTTTTTTTATTTTATTTTATTTATAAGAGTGCTACCAGTGGGTAGTTTCTCAACAAGCGTGTTTCATGTAAATATTTCTCTGTACAAATTTACTTGATGTATTCATACTAAAACAGTTGTAAATATCATAATAAAAGTTTAAAAAAATTGTATTTATTTATTTCTTTTTCTTTTTTTTTTTGTACAAACCATCCAAATAGTATTAAATGATGTTATTTAGTTGATCGGGCGCTTATGACCTGGATGTTTTGCGCCTAGACATCGAAACAAACAAACAAACAAACTTCCGATATATATAACTTTGTAATTTAAATGCAAATGAACAGAAATATATCAACGGTTTATTTCGAAAAATCATTATGTAATATTAGAGAAAATTTAATTGATGAATTTTCCCTCTGTAAAATAATAACATCATTCACTTTCAATTAGTGTGATAACTTTTGACCTATCGATAATAGGTGATTGAAATCTCTTTACTCCATTTTAGTAAATTTTACAAGAGAAAAACAAGAACATGTATTTAATAACATGTATAATGTTGTTCAGATTTAGTTTTTATAAATTTTATTATGTAGTAAATACAATCCTCACTCATTTATAGGTTACATATACAGATGTATTTTCAAATCTCTCTCTTGTTATATAAAGCTCAGACTGGAGTTATGTGGTTCGAAAAGGATAGATGGAACTATAGGTGAATACCGTAGATATAATAAATAGGACTTCTATTATTTTTATTGTCTTAATACATTTTTTTAAAGGATACTTTTATGTTTTAAGGTTTAGCTCCATTAAAAATGTACTTCAAAAATTTTGTAATACCCCAAGTTCGCCAGAAAATTTCTATTCAAATCAGAGCGGCAAGTGAAAGTTGTGTGATGCGTACACCAGATTTTTAAACTTGGTGTAGTACTCGACTGCCTTTCATTACACTTTACAGTTCCTGGCAAATAGATTTAGGCAAATGCATGCATCTGTAAGAGTCTTGAGTTTCGTTTGTGGAGTGATAGGCACCCGCATACTACACCTAGTTTAAATATTCGTAGATATAACTTTCCCTCTCAATTATAAAGTAGATGTGGAAGTTTCATTGCGAAAAGTCATTAAGTAACATTTTAATGAATTTGATATATTCGAATTTGAAGTTCCTGATTCAATAAAAATTACTAAAATAGCGATTTTATTTTTTTTTTTTGTTATTTGCAATTCTAAATATACATAATATTTAAGAAAAATCATTGAAATACTTAAGATATATTTAACAATGAAAAAAAAGAAACTAAGACCCACATAATGACTTTTTGCACACTATCATAGTTGAACAAAACTCTTACTTTTATAACATAAGTTTTTTATATATATTTTAGGCCAAAGGTCACCAAATGTACACAGTTTTTATATCCTGTATTCTTTATTCTTATCTCTAAGGTATTCATGCAGGACTGGATTTATTTAAAAACATTAACAACAAGCTTTAACAAAAAGCTTTTAAGTAAATCCAGTCCTGTATGAATACCTTAGTGAGGAGCAACAATTTTCTTGATATTGTCTGCGAAAAAGAAGTGAACAAACGACATTCTATGAAATAAAAGAATGACTAAAGGTGCATGGATCTTGAAAATGGCTCCTGAAGCCGAAACGTCGAATAAATAATACAGGATGTAAAAAAATGTACATTTGGTGACCTTTGGCCTAATATATAGATAGATAGATAGATAAATAGATAATTTATTGACTATTATGTACATCATTTAGCCATGGAGTTTGGCCCATTTGGTGTTAGTAGTTGTTAGTATTGAATGGCAATGACCTTTGGCCTAATATATATAAAATACTTATGAGAAAATGGCACCAAACCTGAAGGATGTGACTAGAAAATTACTTTTATAACCTTCCAAGTACATAGAATATGAATTAGTCTTACCTCACTTAGTTTTATTAACTATCTGATCAATTGATCTAGTGAAAGAAGTCATTAACTACCAGATAATGACTTTCTGCTCTGTAAAACCAGAAAAACTTCGTGAAACGATTTGTATTATTTTTATGCACATAATGATTTATTGTATCGATAAATATGGTCAAAATTAACAACTACGTATCTTCAGGTGAAAATCGACCAAAAGTGTATTTTGTGACTTTTTGCAATATACTTCTTTCTATAAGTTTCGATTTTCATCTACTTACGAGACAGAGATTGAGGGGCAGAGGGGAGTTTTATGGCGCAGTTCGCGCCATCTAACTTAATGAGGGGGGAACTTTTTTATGGGGTTTTCAATTTTTGGGGGAGCACATTTCGACAAGGTTATGAATTTTCAATATGAACAGTTCCTAATCAAAAGACAAGTGGAATCACGGAACAGACCACAGGATGTGTAATGGTTTTTAATCTACGAATATTCAAATTCTCCCTTGTTTGCACTGTTTTTGAGAAGAAGAGAGGAATAAAATATCTTGGGAGGGGTGGGGAAAGGTTTATGCGCCATCGGTCTTGGGGGGGAGGGAATGAGCAACCCTGTTGAGGTGTATATTCGTGGCAGGAGATAGTAATATTACTAAAATAAAAAATATTATAATTGGTATATTCCTTTTAGATGTACACTTAGAAACATCCACATGTCAATTGGAGACTTAAATAATGAGATATTTTATAACATAAAAAAAGTTCGAGCCAAATATTTCTTTAAAGAACTATTATAATAAAAGTTCTGATTTAAATACTCTCCTTTGTTATTTTCAATAGTTTAGTTCTTTTTATTTGTATACATTTACTTTTAGTATTATTATTTTTCTGTATTATTTATTATAAATAGAGTGTCAATGTGCTATCTGAACACTATTATAAATGTCCTTAATAATAATAAAAAAAAATAAAATCTCCTTAACAACAAGGAAGGAGGTCTAACGAAAGAATTGTATAAACTGATTCAAAAACGTTCACAAGGAACGGTATAAGTTAAAACAACTTTCTTCATAATGAATGTACAGAGTTATTCTGACTTTTAGATAAGCCAACATATTTTTTAGTTACAATTATAATACATTTGAGCAAATATTTAAAACAAAATCATTGTTCACTATACTTTTATTATGGCTTTTACTGATATTTTTAAAAGTAAGTTATTTTGTTTTATTTTACATTAAATTTGCACTGCGTTGTAACGCATAAAGGAAATGTTTTGCTGTTTATTCTGTCTTCTTTAATTCTTGATCCTTGTTATTTATGTGTCATCAGGAGATTTCTAGTCCAATGCATTTTTTGTCGTTCTGATTTGTTTAATTGTGTGTGTTTTGCGGAAACCTAAAGTTCTGTCCGTATTTCCAAATAGGTCTTAGTATGTTGGTGTAGATTAATCGCTTGTTTTGTAAGCTGAGAGGAGATCTGTAGTCCAAAAGATGTGACAATTGTTTGAATAGTTTGATCAGTTCTTGTTTTTGTGTGTATGTTCCAGGTGTGTTTTTTGTCTAAGTGTAGTAAGTTGAATTGATTTTTTCTTTAATAATAATGTTATATTTTCTGGAAATTAGATTCGGCTTTTAGGTTGATGATTGATTAATATTATTAATCTTACAAGGTGAAAGTTTATTAAATTATTTTTTTTTAAAGAATTTTTATTATAAAACATAACAAGAGGTCACATAAATGATAGTAATCAGTGTTGTGCGGTAATTTATTGATAATGAATACTGGCCGAAAGTGTATTAATAACGTACTGATTCAGGACCCCATTTTGATCCTCCTTGGCCATGATGTCCCTGATGCTGTCCATAGCCTTGCTGTCCATGTCCATGCTGTCCAAGATTGCGAGGTCCTGGGTGTTGAGCGTTAGGCCAGGGTACCCCACTCTCTGGGTATTGTTGGTGTTGACCTGGGTATCCATGTCCCCCACTTGGGTATCCTTGACCTCCACTTGGGTATCCTTGACCTCCACTTGGGTATCCTTGACCTCCACTTGGGTATCCTTGACCTCCACTTGGGTACTCCCTGGCCTCCACTCTGGTGCCCTTGACCACCACTCGGGTATCCATGACCTCCGGATAAGCCTCCATGGCCTCCACTCGGGTACCGCTGTCCACTTGGATAGTTCTGCCCACCACTACCGCCGTAAGACCTCTTCTCCCTGGTGGGACCAGCATATATAACTGATACAGTTAAAATCAAACATAGACCTATCGCCTTCATTTTTCTGTGAACATCATGCAAAATGTTTTATTAATTTAAAAATGAAATAATTCGTGAACTTAAGGACCTAACTGAAATTACTATTAAAAATAATCTTTAATAATAATAATACTTATACTATAACAAAATATTTATACTAAAATTATATTTATATGTAAATTTAAATGTTAAAGCTTAAAGTGTGCTTCACATTATATACACAACATTCCTTTTATATTGCTAATTAATGTTTCCAATTAACTAGAGTTAAAAAGTTTGGATTGAGACGATTGTAGTTTTTGTGAGTGCGTCTTTTTTTGCGGAATCAACAATCTGTGAGACTTATGTCCATATTAGGGACGGCTACATCGTTAGATAATGTTATCGAAATATCGATATATTCTCCTGGTATTAGGTATTTTTCTATCGACAGTATCTATTCGATATTACTAACAATCAATATCGTTTCTTCGATATTTAAATATTTTAATTTAATAATGAAAATTACAACTGTAATTTTCGGAAAGCTATAGAAATTATATATGAATCTGATCGTTAGAAAGAAAATTATACTGATCTTGCCTGTTTCATATAGAATGTAGTGCTTAGTAGAGGAAAATATCGACATTACGATAATATCGATTATCGATGGTGAAACCTAAGTGGAGTTGAATAGATCGCGGGAGACCTTTCTCATTCAGTACACTCAATTTGTCCAGATGTATTAGTTAGAACCTCTTCAAACCAAGGCCACGAGTTATCATAGAAATCTCTGTTGAATACAAATAAATTATCATTTCGCTGAAGGCATAATTGGTTGAATGGACATTTCTGTTAAAAAAAATGAGGATGACAAAATGGACAGGAATTAGAAAATCAATTTAACTGAGGGTAGAAGAATTGATATTGCCATTAAATAATTTAAAGATAAAATAACACATTTTTTCGATGTGGTTATGTGCTGAGAAATCAATATTTATATTCATATTTCAAAAATGTTTATATTATCGATGAAAATATCCTACTAGCGATAAGTCTGATATTTTCAAGATATCAATAGTTATAAGGCCGATTGGGGGCTTCGATATCCTATCCCTAGTCCATATGGATTTGAGCAGGTATGTGTATGTATTTAGTTTTTGCTGATTTTCAATTTTGATTTGGAAAAAAAGGCCCGTCCTTCTGTCGATTATTAGCCCGAGATAACGCACAGTGGTCTCTGAGGATTTTGGTTGTCCCGGATATAAACTGATTGCCAATCTCTCTGATTGGAGTATAAATGTTATGTGTTGTGGTCTGTCACGATTTCATCTAATTTTCCAAAGTGAATACCCATTTTGTAAATTTAGTTAGTGATTTTGTAAAATCAGCGAACTTAAAATTAAAATTCATTCATTCAATTCAATCATTGGATTCAATATTTTAATTAATTGTAAATAATAAAAAAGCTATATTATTCCAACTCAAGGGTTTAGGGTTCACTATGTTACGAAAATACCGTTTATCGTCGTTCAACGGTAATGCGAGGAGGTGATTGGACTGATATAACGCTCAACGAGCCAGATGTTTATCAATTAACTTATTAATAATTAATTGAATTAAGTTAATAAATCAATTTACTAATATTTAACTGGATTAAGTACATGAGTTAATTAGTTGATAATTAATCGAATTATTCAAATTAATTATGAGACAGTTAATTGAATAAATTAATAATTAATTGAGTGGATTAGTTCAATTAATTGATTAATAATTAAGAGTCTCAGATAGTTATAGAATAAATTATAATATATCACAACCGGACTCGAACCTAGTTCCAGTTGAATAGGAAAACATTTGTTTACTCACTGAGCTAGCTCGTTCCTTTATTCATAAACTGGAATTAATTGTCAAATTAAAAAGTCCATTCATAATTTTTTATCTATAAAGATTTTTTTATTCCTTAATGATCTTTCATGATGATCGGGTCCAATGAACAATTAGCTACTTAAAATAATTTACAATAAATAATGTTTGAGGCTGACAAGTTATTTATTTTAATTATTTTAGAATATCAAGAATTATATATACGAGTGTCCCGTAAGTAAATAGATATATTTAAAGGGATGATTGCAGAACTCACAGGCTATAAAAATATTTATATAAATGATTGTCCGATTTCTCGTAGAAAAATAGGAAATTCAAGTTTTAATTATAGTCACTTGAAACAATAAGGACCAACTCTCATGATACTTTACATTCGATATAAGATGATACATTTTTGCAAAAGTATGATTTTTGAATGAATAAAAATAGTTTTTTTTGTGATTGATTTACTACAATACATCTCAGATCAAATAAAAAAAAATTACTAATTTATTGTGATTATTTTTGCTAAAACCACTTGTTGCTTTGGTTTCCAAGTATATCCAATCAGTTGATGTTTTTACATTACTCCAAATGAATTTCAATTTATTCTGTAACAGACCTCAACTTGATTAATAGGAACTTAAAGCTTATTAAATAACGATGTTTTTATCAAAATGGGGTAACGCTAGTCAAGTTGGACAATGTTAAAAAAAAAAAAAAATTAATTAGTGATTTTATAAAAAATAGAATTTAGCGTATTTTATTTTTAAAATTCCCATTTAAACGGATTTAACAAAGACAAACTTTCCTTGCATTGAAACTAAATTTTCTTTAGTTTACTATGATACAATTGGTTATTTCCTTAATTTACTATTTTGTTTTAATTGTCGTTCCCTATTTAACTAAAAACATGACACCTAAAAAAAAACCCAAGACTTAAACTTCCTGCTTTTATGTGGAAAATTGGACATTTGTTTATAGCAAATCTTTTTTTGCAGCTTTTGAGGTCTGTTATTAATTACTCTTTTCAATGTTTCCCTTTACTCACGGGTCATTATGTATCTACATCAATATATGAATTGAAGACCGAAATAAATTTTTGTATTCCGAATTTTCCTCAAACGAATTTTCCTTTTCCTCCGAAACTAGTTTCAAGGTTGAAATTAGTATTAGCTTAAAAAGAAGATTTGTTTGTTACATCTTTGTTGAAGATATTATTACTTAATATACAATATATTTAAGAATTTTTTTTTATTTTTTTAATTTTTGAGCTTTTAAACATAGGCAATATTCAAATGTGAAAGTATTTTTAAAGAAGAAAAGTGTGTGAAAGAAGATACGTTATCAGATTTCCGCAGATATTCTAATTATAATTCAAAGAGAGCTTGATCTATGATTTCTCGATGGATCTCTCACATACAATAATTTTACGCTTATAATATATCAATTGAAGATCAAATTATTTTTCCTATTCTGAATTTCCCTCAATTCTTGAAACTAGTTTTAAGGTTGAAATTTAAGTCAGGTTAAAAAGGAGATTGCTTGTTTGAAATGTATTGCTAATATTATTATTAAACATAATATTTATTTTTTAAAAACAGAGATTTTTTTTTAATTTTTAACCATATAAAGTATTCAAATGTGATAAATATGTTTGTGGAAAACCAATTACTATAACGATTGCAATTACTGTACTTATACTCTTGAAAATCACGTTACGAAATTCCCGCATTCCTGTTTGTCGATAGTTATAAAATATATTTTAATTTTTTTATGAATGGAAAATTACCACAGATATTCTAGTTATAAACTAGAAGAGAGCTTGATCTACGATCTCTCATCATGATGAATCTCTAGCATATAATAATTTTAATTTCGTGCTAAACTGTTATAACTGTATAGTAGATAACTATATAGTAGATAACTATATACATAGTATATATATATTTAACTATTGGTCGTACTCACATGTTTGCCGGGCTCCTACTGATCTGACAGTGCCATCAGGAGATGCCTTATAAAGACGAGTTGTAATCTCAGATAGTTGTCATAACATGTTATTATCATAGTAGTGTCACTTTTTTGTCTTTACAAGTTTGACCTTCTTTATCATCGTTCTATTTTGCTTTCTGACCATGAACCATTTATAATAAAAACACATTAAATTATTTAAATTAAAATTTATATTTTTCAACACTAAGGCCACATCTAAGAATATAAAATAATTATATCTATGTACAGTTATTATGTTTTAGATATTTAATTTTACATAACTTGTATGTTATGTAGTACTCCTCTCTCGATTGAAGCAATGTAGAGTTTCTTCCATTAAATCTCAAAACCTTGTACTCTTTTGTTTATATATGTATATATTGTTTATACTTATATATTATATATTTGTAATAGTTGCAAATAAAATAGAGGATAAGAAAAAAAAACCTTCTGTACGTAATTATTATATATGATTGATAGTTATATAATTATTCTGATAACAAGTATCTTTTCCCATAACACCTAACCGTATTCGAATGATAATATATTTTTAAAATATTTTAATTACAATATTTACATTTTTCTGCACTACTAATTAATATATAAATAGACAAAAACAAAACAATTATATATATATATATATATATATATATATATATATATATATATATATATATATACATATGTTAATATTGTTTATACTTATATATTGTATATTTGAAATAGTTGAAAATAAAATGAGGATAAGAAAAAAAAAATGTTCTGTACATAATCATTACATAAGATTTGTAGTTATTTAACTATGTTGATAACAAGTATGTTTTCCCATAATACCTAATAATAATATATTTTTTAAATATTTTAATTACAATATTCACATTTTCTGCATTACTAATTAATATATAAGAAGGCAAAGGCAAAACAATTCAGTACCTTTTTCCTCGATGCATAATAGTAGCTATTGGCGAGCTTTAGTGTTATCAATAAAAAAAAATATATAGACACAGTGTATATAAATAAAAAAGTAAATATTTGTATGTTCAAAACCGCTAATCTCCGAAATTTCTTCACCGATTGCTTTGAAATGTTTATAAAAGATTGCAACCAAATTCAGGATTGTTCGAATGTACATTACACTACCGTCGCCAGATTAAGATTAAGATTAAGCGTCCCGTAAATATTTGTATTACTATTCTAGCTATTAAACAAAAAAGGAAAGAAGAAAATCGGTTGAATTATAGAGAGGAAAAAGGGGATGAACCGTTTTGTGTTTGTATTTATTTATATAATGATATTGGTAGATGATTTGATCTGGTTATCATAGATACCAAACCATTCTGTATTAGAATCGCTTTACCTGCTTTTCACTAAAAAACTCATAACTCCTCACGATTTTCTTCTAATTCAATGTTTGTATGAGCGTTGGAAAGCTGAGTTGTTGCTCTTTAAGCCTATATAAACAACTTTTATATTTAACGCCATCTCCCCCTTTCATTTAAAAATGACTGGGAAAAGGTGTGTCGATAGATTATCGCGCCAAAATGGCTTTAACGATTTTAATGAGACTTTGTTTAAGCCTTCTCTTTGACGCCCTTTTAATTTATGTTTAAAACGTACTTTCCCGAAAAGAGGCTAATAAAAAGTATAGATAGGTTCGGAATTTTATTTGCGAATAACTGCAAAAGTAAACAGTTTTTGGTTTATTAAACCCATGAGTATTTGAAAACTTCCCGAATTCCCTACAAAAAATAAGATTATCGAAATCGAAGAGGATGACGTCCGGTAAAATATTTGTATTACTATTATTTTATTATGTTTCTTGTTTCCAATGTTTAGGTGAATAATTATTTAACTGAATGTCAATCTTAAATGAGGCATAACCGAAATCAAGTAAATAAAACATTTATGTTTTTCATGATAATGAAAAAAAATTACTTGGATAAATAAAAAACGAGAAAATTACCGATAAAACAGAAATAATAATATTAATAAAAATCTGATTCGATGAATGAAATCAGAGATTTATTTAAACTTTTACTGTTACCAGTTTGATCAGAGTTTATTGCTAATTTTTTAATTAATATTTTATTTTTTTTTATTTAATTATAATTAGTTATAAATTATACTTTTCATAACTAATGACTCGATGTCAACCAACAT